TGTTATTAATGCAAAGACAAAATTAAAATCAGTAATGCTAGGTAAGTCCCAAATGGGTTCTAACATCACAATAAGTTTTTGTGACAACTGCAGATGGAGTGTATGGGATATAAGCCCTCGAAACGCTACAAAGGATGACACGAAAATTTGCTCCAAAAATTCAGCAAAACTCTCTTTTGTTATCAAACAAGCTTTGACATACATATGTATTGATAAATTTGTACAATGCTCGCGAGTATTTATTTTACAAACGGTAGACTTTGCACATTATTATTTCTTTAGCGTAGCACATATTTTTTTTATATTTACATTTCATGATGCTTGCCAAACAGTTGCATTGATTTTTAACAATTTTGCATATTTTTTATTGCTGCAATTTTTTACAGTTTTCGCTCTTGCACTTCACTTTGTTGTTCTGGTTTTATACATTTTTTAATAGATGTATGCGTATGTACATATGTACATATTGTCACCGGAAATGCAAAAAGACATAACAAACACCGTCACTGAAATGCAAAAAGTCGTAACTTATAAAAAATTCAAAATTCACTTTTTGATTGATATGATGGAATTCGTCGAATTACAAATCCCTACATCGGTTTATAAAAAAAAAGTTATTAGTCACGACTTTTTCTATCTCAGTGACGATGTTTGTTACGTAATTTCGCATTTCAGGTGACCATATGCAAGTTACACTTATACAATTGCATATATGTACATACAAATTAATAATTTAATTTCCTTATGATTCGAGTAATTCTTTCATTCTATGTATGTCTTCACTCAAGATTTTTGTTTTCTGTTGGTGAAATTTTTTTTTATTTTTGTATTAATTGTTTTCTTTACAACTAAATTTGTTTAGTTTTCATATGTATTTTTAGTATATGTATGTATTTATGTATTTTTATATGTAGTATGTGTCATTCTCATATGTATAAGTTGTTAGTATGTAAATATACATATGCATATGCAATTGTGTACATGTGTGATTGTATTTGTGTATTTTTTATGTGTTGTTATACATATTTATGTATAATATGTAGGTATGTATTTTGTTTGCTTTATTTTTATAGTTTAATTACCAACACTTAAAATGGTCTTACGCGGAACTAATGTAATGTAACATTTGCAAAAAAATATTAAAAATTAGTAAGTATATAGTTATCAAAGTAACTTCAAAGAATAATGCACTTTAAGTTAAATATGATATTTTTCGGTAGCAATGCATTTAAAAATAAAAAAACTGCAAACGCGCATACATACAAATGTACAAGTATGTACGTATGTATATCGACTCATGTACATACATATCTATGTACGTATGTATGCAAACACATTTTAAAATTAAATTAACGAATGATTGCTTTTTTTAGCTAATACGATTTTTTTTTAATTATTCAATTAACTAATTATTTCATTAAAATTTATTATAAGCAGAAAACTTCTAAATACATAAAGACTTACATATATATATGAAGAGGAACAAAACGTATAATTCCTAAAATTGTATTAGCAAATAGTGCAAAAATATTTGATTTGATACAAGGCATTAGCAAACAAGTGCATCTCCACCGCCTTCTCACGACTACAACCCCCGCTTCCAGTGGCTTCTTACCAGCAATTTTATTCATGCGATTATTGCTTGCTTTTCAAAGAGAAAGAATTGTTTTACGTATAGACATATTTAGGTATTTGGCTAGGCAAATATGGAGTAGGCGACTACATTTAACAGCAGGATTTACTGGCCATTAAAAATATATATACACATTTTTGTTTCTACAAGCCGCGACTTTTTGTTGTAATACAGCACGCCAATGAAAGGGAACTAGCTTCATTAAAGAAAGCAAAATTTAAATAATTTTGTTAAATTGTGCCACAGAAAAAGCAATACTTGCCAATTAAAATTTCCTTCCTGGTCGAATATTATGAGCGGAAATTATCATCTCGTCCGCTATCAATAACATCAAGGTAGTTTAACATGGTAAACGACGATGCTGATCGGAATTTCACTAAAGCGACGTGCAAATCATCAGCGTCAGCCAAGGAAATATAATGTTAAAATAACTGAGGCAGCGTCGCTTTGACGTACGCACCCTTCTTTGGTCAACGACCGTGCAATAAATGCAGATTCCCGCGCAAGTCGGCATGCTTCTTCTGTACTATGCTTATAGGCAATTCATTACATTAACTGCATTACCATAGCCTATTTCAAATTTGTTTGCTGTTATATTTTGGCTTTTAGTCTACGCATTCTTTCAGTAAGAAACCCAATGGCAAACACATGCTTTAAGATTCTCATATAATGCCTTGAGTGTTAGCTACTTCTTACTTGCATACAGCTCGTTGCTGCTAAAGAGTTAGTTACGTATTTTTTTTTTTTAATTTTAAACCTTTAAATTGTTTTAGTGATTATATGTTCACAATACAATATGTATAACAAATACAATGTATGTTTGTTTGTTTGTGTGTATGCTACCATTTTAGTCTATATATTTTTTGTTTGTTTGCGTATCGTATTTGCTTTTAGTTTGTAGGTAATTGGTTTAAGTGTGACCAGATAAGTGAAGATATACTTGTATTCTATATATGTATGTATATAAATTAGTACTTTAAATTCCGTCTTCTTTTGCAATAGTACATGATTGCATTTTCTTTTGCTCGCTTGTTTGTTTATTTTTTTTATATATAAATTACATATCTTATTTAAATAGTTTTTAGTTGTTAGTTATGCCAGTTTGGCTATTGGCTATTGGCTGTTAGCATAACAGATTTGACTGTCCTCTTTGATTGCCTTTCTAAGTATGAAAGTAATAATGATTGTTACATTATTTAAATTATATTACTAAATTAAATATAAGTATGTGTGTGTATGTATGTATGCATGTAGGTCCAAGCATTTCTTCATTCATTAATTGATTGATGATTCAAAATAATTGAATTAATTAATATAATTAAGTATAACTCAAATCGATTCAATAAATAATATATTTGCATTTATAATGTCCATTTATTTTAATAAATAAATCGAAATTTCTATACAGAAGCTTTCTTTTCTATGTTTTATACATACATATGTATAGACATTATAGCGTTAGCATGTAATTGAAGTCCAAATGACTTCATGCTAAACGGTTTAGTAAATAAAGTGATTTGATTCATTAATAAATTATGATAGAATTTAACATTCTTTAAAGTGAATATGTAAATCAATTATACGTGTAGGTATGAAAATGTGTATATATAGTACATGTATGTTTGTTGCGGTGGTTTTTTGTTTCTCTTATGAACGCAATATTTGTATGTATGTATGTATGCATATCGGATATGAACAGAGCAATAATTCTTACAATATTTAAATTAAGTGAAGAGCGGGAAAGCCTTTTACATCAAAACAAACTTATTTGAGAAATCTTAAAACTAAAAAATTTACTCCCAAAATTATTTACTTCATACGATTATGTATGCCAGTATTGCTAATTATCATATCATATCATAATTATACATAAAATTGTATATTTCTGCTTGAATTGTTGTAACACAGTTGTTAGTTAGTGTTTGTTTTTTAGTATTGGTATTTGCTGCATTCTTGGAGTGATCCATTTAATTTAAATGGTTCGCCGCAATTTTGCATAATCTGTTGTTATAGATCTTTGTAGCAAATAACGTTGTAACTAAGCACTGGAAGCTAAAAAATACCTGTGAAAGAAAGGAAAAAATCAACGGTAAGTCCTAGTTGCTTTAAACTTGCAAATATTACACTAAATTAATGGGCTTTTATATTATATATATATATATTTATGTATTTGAATATTTATTTAAAAAGTAACGGAAAACCTTTTTTTTATTAAACAAAAATTAAGATAGAGGACTGAAATTCATGAACAATCATGTGACCGACAAAGAAATTTTCATATGGAGCGGTAACAAAAAACATTCGTTAAGGCGGATTCAATTTTTGAAAATGTTAAATAAAAGTTATTTTTAGATTTTCAAATACAAAAGACGTACCGATAAATCTTCGTAACGCATTTTTCAAAAACCTCTATCTTTTTGTTATATGTATATGATTTCTTCACCTTTATTATTTTGAGCAAGATATACCGATAATGCTTGCTTTTTTTAAGTTTGCTCAATTTTTTTTTTGCAAAAGATAATCGGTTTCTAAAATGATGTGTGTGCTTCGTGAACATGAATATCGAGTTTTTTTCGGACTTGGGGCTTCTTTAGTTTTCGGATTTTTTTCCTCATCTGAGTTTTTTATGACCTTTCGAGAATTTCTCGGGATCTTGGTGGGGGTTTTCGCTTTTTTATAATTTTTCGGGAATTCCGTGGCACTTTACGAAATCTTTCATACTTATGTTTTGGAAACATGCTGATTCTTTTTTAAAATTTTCGGACCTTTGGGGTTTTTTCGGAGCCCTTGGAATTTATTCGTTAATTGTCAAAATTAGAAATGTGTAAAAGATAAATAGCAAAAAAAAAAACTGTCTGCTTCAAAAAAGAAAGAAAAACTCAATATTCACTTTGCATCTGTAAAAGCGTCTACCTTGCGATCTCTACATATTACCTATGCTCTATAGAACAGCCATGGGCACCGTTGGCAGAACTCCATAAGCATGTGCAAAGTTTTGCAAAAAGTTCTGCCTGCGCTGCCCATCACTGCTCTAGAAACAAGCATACAAACGTTCATATATCGCCGTTTAAAGTACAAAACCGTGTATTAATATAATGCAAAACCGCGTATGTGAGATTCCATAAATTATTTTCTAGAGAGTAAAAACACTTCAATTTCAAAATGGTTCTCTTTTTTATAAAGCAATAGCACCTCTAGTATATTTCAGGACGAATGGATAAAATTGAGCCAAGAGCTTGTGTGAGCAAATTCAATTTTTGGCAGCCAATGTCAGTTACGCGGTTTTGCAGAATGACGATATGCGGTTTTGTACTTTAAACGATGATATATGTACATATGTATTCAGTATACATATTGTAAGGGCTTACCTTAAAAATAGTTGTAGTTATTTGGCTCACAATTCCCATAGTAGATCGCAGTTTGCAGTTCGCAGACTCCTCAAAATTAGACATTTAATATTTTCATTGCTTGCATCTTGGCATGAAACTCGAATCGCTTAAATGCCAATCATGGTGAAACGAAAAAATCCCATATGTATGATGTGTTTGATTGTACTGGAGTTCTTGAAATATATGCGCACAATTGAGTGTATGTATTCACTCACACATATCATTATCGTCCAGTTTTTAATGTGTTGTGTTTTTAACGATAAACTGCATTTGTTTGATTAGATTTGATTTGATTTGGTTTCTGATGTGTTCAAGTTTTTCTTCTAATATGCAATTTGTAAGGCGTCAAACTGAATGAATTCGCTGATCAATTCGCTTGCATTTTTATGCAATTCGTATCATTCATTCTACAATATAAGTATTCTATGTTTTTATTTTGTTGTTATTCGTATTTCGTTTCATTATTACTATTTGTAGTAAAGTCATTTTCTTCTCGTAGATAAAACATTACATTATGTATAGAAATTTTGTTGAAACCATAATACATAATCAAACAGCATGAATGCTTTTTAACACTCCCCTCTACCAACGAGAGAAACACATCACATATCGCATTTATACTTCCTCATCATCAGGTCCTTCAATTAAATCGTCCGGATCGTACATAACAATATTATCATCGTTTTCTTTTGCCTCAGGATCGTCAACTTCTTCAGCAGCTGCTGCTAACGTTCCATCTTCGGCATCACTGCCCAGTCTTCTACGCTTTTGCTTAAAATTATTGATTACGTTATTGCATGAACGCCTGCGCTGTAATGTTGGCACACTTTGGGTAGTTTCAACGACAATATCGCTATCTAGCACCTCCTCCAATTCAGTAGTATCAACCAAAGCCGCCTGTTGTTGCTTAATACGCAACTGTTCCAACTCTTCGGGTGAGCGTTTTTTGCGAAACTCGTAGACCAGTGGGAAGATATGTTCAATAGCGGCCTGCACATTAGCAACACTAGCAGCTAGAATATTTATATAAAAATTCAAGTTCAATTATTTAATAATAAAACCAAACCGACAAATTTCAAGATATCTCACCCGTCACAGTAATACTGCCGGTGGAGAAAATTTTCAAAGTGGCCTTTGGAAAGCGCAATTTATATGTAACACCTGGATGCAATTCGGGCTCGTAACTCGCCTCTTTCTTGTACCTTTCAGAGAAGTTTAAAATTTTAATGGCCCACGGCATGCTGCATGTGCCCAGTACGTTCACTACTCGGAAATTGTGAAAACGGGCACGGAACCCAAGTTTTTCAAGGACGCGTGCATAACGGCGTGCTGCAATTTTCGCCTAAAAGTAAATGTAATATGAATTCATGAGTGTAAAATATTGATGAGAAGTATCCAATTATATTAGTATGTTGTTTCTATAAAATAAAAATTTAGGATTGCCGTTAATTTCTTCATGATCCAATGATCGGTTCTAAGCCAAATTAATATGGGACCACCCAGAAGATAATTTAGATAGGTATTCTTAATTAAGTAAAGCCATTCTAAGAGGCCTGCCCAAGAAGAGCTAAAAAACGTGCTTCCTTGCATGCCTTCTATAAGGGCTTATCGCGAATGCATAAATTTAGCATTACAAATGAATTTCAATAAACATTGCAAAACCGCCCATCGACCAATTGCAAAGCCCCCTTTCATACGGCACTAAAATTTGACAGGAGCGAAAAAACGGTTTTTCTTTGAAGGCATTGCCTTGATAGGCAATATTTTCTTTAGCTATTATTTTACAAATCTGTTGTTTTAATAAAGATTATATGATTTTTTTGGCATAAATTTCGATGCCTGGAGATCTGGGTTACCAAATTTAATTTTTGCCAAAACGGCGATTTAGGCGGTTTTGCAACTGGTCGATGGGCGGGTTCGCAAAAAAACATCGACGAAATACCTCAAAGATGCATGATTTTTATAAATTAAAGAAGCAACTTTAAAAGAACTCCTCCAAAAGGCCTTCTGAAGTACGTCCTTTCAAAGCACTTCTGGAAAGCCTTCCATGGGTAGCGAAAGAAGAAGCCCTTTAATTTGTTCCACTCCATACAAAAAAGAAAGGAGAAAAGAATATAGAGTGGTAGGCCTTTTGTCTCTCAGGAAGGCCTTTCGGAAGGGCTTTTTTAACTCCTGAAATTATCTACTGGGCACCTTTCCGATAAAAGATTTTCGAAGTCGTTTCACGTGGTCCAAAGTTATACGGTAACATACATAAAAAAATATTCCGACGAATTGAAGTCAGTTAAAAATACATATACATATTCAATCTTACTCTAACGCACCTGTTCTTCAGATGTGGCACCTGTGCAGGTGATTCGACCTGATGACCAGATGGACGCAGTCGTATAAGGTCTTCGCAGCTTCATTGTCACCATACCGTTCTCGCGACGATACTCCACATTGAGACCCTTGAGAGCAATATCACGCAGATTCAAATGACATCGCACACTGAACGAGCAAACCACGTTGTTGATGACAATGTCAATCTCCGGTTCAACCTCAGGCTCAGCAGCTTCCGTGATGGCAGTACCATCGGGTGTGGCAGCAACTGTTGTCGCAGGGAGAGATGTGGCGGGTATAGTACGAGAGTGGGCAATTACGTGTTTATGTTCCTCAGATTGTCCCTGCTGCTGAGATTGACGTTGTTGAATTTGGTTTTGGCTATGTTGTTGATGCATTTGTTGTTGGGCCTGCAACTGCAACTGTTGCTGCTTTTGCGGAAATACAGCTGCAGTCGGTAACGTTTTCACCGATAAAGTTGCCGATGTGGAAGTTGTCATAGTTCCACTCTTGTTGTTGGTGATGCTGTTGCTGTTAGGAACTAAATTGGGAACACCGTTAACTTGCGTAACAGTCGATAGATTGCGTGAAGTCGCAGCCATGTTGGCTACTGTTGTTGTTTTCGTGGCCGTCACTGTCACCGCATTGCTACTGTGAACGATGGGCTTAACTAATTGTATCTTTTGTTGTTGTTGTTGTTGTTGTTTTTGCTGCTGCTGCTGTTGCGTTTGTGGCCTAATTTGTTGCAAGGCCGAAATGTTTTGGCGCAGTGGTTGTTGTTGCAGCTTCACAGCTTGTATGGCAGGAGAATGAGAATTATGATTAATTTGAGACTTATTAGCGATAACGGCGGTCGCTGCAATATTTGTCGGTGGTTTATTCAAAATTTTAGCATGCTGCAGGCGTTGTGTAGTGTTACCAGCGATTATAGTGTTATTGGAGCGATTTATGAGTACATGAGTAGTTCGGTTGCCAGTAGCTTTTGTGGCAACAATTGTTGATGT